TTTCACCCTTTTCACTCATTTGAGTAATTCAATACTGTGTCAGAACCAACACACAACCACAACCATCCACTGGCTGTTTCCTTATCGCCCTGCCAACGTCAAGCCAATTGCAGCACATTAACTAAACTAATAAAGCAATCTTCAAGAAAATTAGCTTTTACATTTACTATCATACTATAACTTTTATTCATAGATACTAAAACACCACCGTCACTGGGACAAAAGCATAGCATGCAGAACTCTAACCATAGGACGAGCTCTTGATGACCAGGCTCATTCAGTAAGATTCCCAGCAGCAGCTCTCTGCCTTCATCCAAGAATGGCTTTAATTTTCATCAGCAAAACAATCTAACACAAAACAAAATGCATGAACCACATCCTGCTGCCTGCCATGCCCTAAAAGTTCTTCTTGTAAAAGCTTTGGTGCTGCCCACAGAGAAAGTACTCCCACTCAGCACATCCTCCAGCCAATGCTGAAAACTGTTGTAAAGGCCCTTGCCCTAGCATAACAGAACTTATTGATCTCTTCCACTAATTTAGCGTTCATTGGCCTCTCATCTTGGGATCAGGGGACCTCAGATTAACACTTAACTCTGCCTCAAACAAATAATTTCAGAGGTAGCAAGTTAGTCATACTCATGACTAAATTCCTCTGAGAGGCCAGTCCAAACTGTGACATAGTCTCTTGGCTGTACTCATTTCACTGGCCTGCAGAGCAGAGAAGGCTACTGCCATTTGACATCTGCTTGTCGGTATTTCTGAAGTGATTTAATAATGTCAGTCCAGTCAAGGCACATCACAAGACTAATCAAGAGAGCTGGCCCTAACTGGCCTTGGAAGAGAAGCTTAGTCAAGTAAAAATTACCCTCCAGGGGAAAATAAACTTCTTCAATACCAATTTAATCAGCAGTGTGTTACTACTCTGAAGAATGAGAGCATTTGTAAAACCCCCATGCAAGAATGACTCGTGGGAGGAAGAGGTGACTAAGGAATTAAACCATCCACTGGAGAGCAAATTGTGGTTTGTTGGCTCCACTGGGAACAAAAGGTCTACGGCTCACTGCCCGAGCTTGGAGAGGACATGACTTGCTGTCGGTATTTCCATGAAAGCTGTTATGTGATTCATTAGCTTTGCTGGCCCCTCTCTCCTCCCTCCCTTCCCCCCACACCATCATTAAACTCATCTGTTCTCTTGAGCTCTTGCTTGGCAGAAAGGGCGTGCTGACATATAACAGAGTTAAAATGAATGGCTCCCATGTTTAGAAGAAAGGAAAAAGGAAGAGAAGCAGATGAGAGAAACTAAAGAGAGTACCCAGAAAAGGTCTGACTACACACCCTCCAAAAAAACCCAGAAATCATAAGAAATAATGATGTGTTTCTACAATACCCTTTATCTTGAAAGTCTCCGTATATCTATATATAATATATATCCTACTCTGAAGAATCCCTTCCTCAAAAATAAGATGAAGCCACCCCTAGGCCAGGACAAAACAGATGTAAGAAAACAGATCAATACTGGCTTACTGTATGCACTGACATTTGATATTCTCATCCAAGCCATGTCAGCATGTTTTACAAATAAGCACAGTCCCAAAAAAAGTCTAACCCTTGGATAACCCCACCCGTCACCTTGTTCCAACTACAGAAGTTAACATTTCCCATTCAACTGCTTCTTTCAAGAAAGTTTTTGTATGTATTGAGTCATTTTTTCCACCTCTTCCCAACGATATTAATCATCACATAACCTGCAGATGTTTAGAGGATAAACAAAGCCCCACCATCACCGTGTCAACCAATGTCAAAGAATCTTAGCACTCCTGTTCAGAAATACAGACTGCCTCACTTTTTCCAAGGCAAACTAATGTTTGAAAGGCTTCTTCTCTGAATAAATACTGGTGCACTGGATAACGTTGCATTCTTCCACACAACTCCCATGAAATGTTCCCACTATTTCACAGGTGTTCTGGCATATGTTTGTATATATTAATGGTTCCTTTAGCTTGAGGCAGCCAGTCTCAAAAACCAAAAACTAACTCTACTGACAAACTGCAGCAATTTTCACTATTATTTTACGTATTTTTCTGTACTATTTTATAGGCGTTTTCATTCTAACACCTCCACATGCTTTGTAAATATGAATACTGAGACCACTCAAGTATAGCAGGAAAAGCGACCACTTACCCATTTTGCAAGCAGGAAAGATGCAAACTTGGGTCACACACCACAAAAGTTCTTACAAATGATTGTAAAAATGGTTTAAAATTAGTTTCAAATTAGAAGTCAGTAAAAGCCTGTAGAATCTAACATTATAAGCAATCTTCTCAACTCCTTTTTAGACAATTTTACACTCTTAGGAACACATAGATTAACTTAAAAAGAGATGATATTGAGCTATTACAGAGTCTTGTAAATCTTCTCTTCAAAACGTACTCAGTCAGACACCAGCAATGGATTACTTTGCAAGAAAGATGCAATGTAGGATGTCTTCCCTTTCTCTGTCTTCACTTCTCCACAATCCCTTCCCTCAGCTAGCTACATTTTTTTTTCAGATTCCTCTGCACTAAGGTGTAAGCTTTAAACTGCTCAGCTTGGGGGCAATGATTTCCTTCCTGTTCCTTGACAGCACTGACCAGGTCACCCAGAACTTGGGGTTATCACAGCTGTATCTTTATATCCCAAATCTTAATTGTTAGCTGTAGAGTCAGGATCACTCACATGGGCACTGTCAGACTCTGAAAGTGTTGCTTCTAGGACGTGTATTTTATTTAGTTTTGAAACTATATCTTTGTCATAGTACTGTAGCCTCGTTAGTCAAAAGCTATGTACCCCCATGGCCTGTTATTCCTATTTATTCTCAACAGGAAAACCTGTTAAAGTATATCATACTCTCATAAGTACATGAAAATAAGTATTTTACTCTAGGTTATAACCTATGTCTTAGGATCAGATTTTTCAAGACTTCAATGTCCAGGTCAAGATTTGATTGATTGTAGTTAAAGGTGGAACATAAACTAGATCAATAAAAACATTTCTGGGGTTCATTTTGGTTATTCCAAAAGGACCAGACTTTGAGTACCATAGTTACTCAAGATGTAGGCATTCCTGACAGTTGAATTAAGTTCATCCAAGCAGAAACAAAGCCCAACATAGGCACTTCCATGTATCACATTCTAATGTGAAAACCAAGTTTTTGCATCCTAGTTGTCAAAAATCAACAGAAATATCGCTTCAGATGACTTTATATTATCCTCTGACTTCCAGAGCCAGAGCTCTCACCCACGAGAAATAAATAGTCTGAATTTATTCTGTCAGCAGAGATGTTCCTGAAACTTTTTTCATGATTAAACAGAGTTTTGAGCATGTAGTTTAATACAAAATGCTGTGTTTTTCAGTGACATTCATACCTTATGAACAGTGAACACATATTAAAATAAGACTTAGTACAGCCTACACTTAAAAAATGAGAAGAGTTTTAAAACTATTTAGGTGCAGCAAAGGCATAACCCTTTCCCCTTCAATAAAATAAATCACAGGACAAGAGAAAACAAAGGATGAAAGAGATTTTCAAAACCCACAGGGGGTCTGCACGCTCATTTATCATCTATGTTAATAGTAATAAGCTGTTCAAATCCCACCACTGGCCCTGCAAAATCATGGTCAGTTTTCTCCGACTCTGATCAGAAGTTAGCAGTGTACCTCCCCATGCTTTTATTCATCTCTGAGTTTATCATCAGTATTATCTCTCCTCAAATGACAGTAACATGTTTAGTTCAAGCACAGCTGTCAGTGGAATGATTCCAGGGCCTGGGGATGTAGGCAGCCATACTTTCAAGCCTAAAGTTTAACTTTCCCTTAAGGCAGCATTTCTTCTGGTGACTGGATACTGGCAGTTTTGTGTTCTTCGTTACCCTGCTGATTAACATTCTGCTAGAGCGTTCTCCACTACATCTAACTGCTGTTCCAGCACTCACTGGCAGATCTATTGTGAGAGATCCTAGGGCAGCAATGCAGTGATGTCTGCCTCTTGTTTTTCTTCACAATACTAGAGATCAGGCACATACTTATTTGCTTTTTAAAGCAATTGCTACAGATCTAATTTGAAGTTATAAAGAAACCCTGATCAAGCAATAACAACTTTAATAGATTTTTGTGAATGAAATTCCCATGGCAACAGTATGAAACAGAGTGCCAGGAAATACAACCAATTCCAGTTTTCTGTACGCGAGAGGGTTCTAAGCTCGATCAGAAACTTAGAAATAAACAGCAGAAATCAGCAGGCCTACTGTTTTTCCCTCATTCAGCACTTGAGAAACACACGAAATAAATCAAAAGGCAAGCAAAACAGTATTATGGCATCAGGAACAAATTACTAGCCTTCCTGGAGTACAGTACAGACATTTGGCACAAGGGGAATTAGATATACCTGATACTAGCTAGCTCTTGGCTTTCTATAAAATCTGCTACTGATTAACATGCAAAGCACTACACTTCTGAAAGGACAATGGTGGGAAGACCTTCCACAAAGACATCATTTTAAATTCTAAGGCCTGGAAAATTTCAGGCCTCAGGCCACGAACAATGGTAACACAGCCAAGCTGCAGATCCTGACAAGTTGTACGTACAGCACTAGATCAGCTTTGTAACTTTTTAGCTGCATCACGCAGACTATGTAAAATAATATCTGTCAGGCATTAAGGTCCCTCCCTTGTAGGCATTCTGTTCCAGCCAGCAAAGGATTTCTTTCAGAAAAGCTTCCCTAAGGACGGTGCTGTGATCTCAGGTATGGAGCACTAACAAACAGCATTTACAAGGCACAAGGTAAACAGCAGTAATTTCTCTAGCCGGCTCGAAGCCATCAGCATTAGCTATGACAACAGCCTCTGTTTCCGCTCAGTGGGACGCTGCGGTTAAACCCCCCGAGAACAAAACCCCATCTCCTGCAGTTACAGCCCCGAAAGCCGCAGGCAGCAGCCCCGGCATTTCGCACGGTCCGTACAGACCTTGATCGTGCTCCTCCGCTCGCCCAGGCTGGTTGCCCATCTTCGGTCACTCCCCCGACTCTTCCCCGAGCTCCTCTAGGACCCCGGCGCCCCGCTCATGGTCGGTGCCAGAGGCGGACCTGCCTCTATCTGCTTTTAACGTCTACGCTTCAGTCAACTTAAAAAGGGAAAAAAAAAAGTCAGCTCCTTCCTAGTTCCTGGCACCAGGAACAGAGCCTGCTGCTCATGCTGAAGCAGCTGTGGCTCTCCCTCCTACCTCATTACAATATTATGCACTGAAGGCCGGCCTGTGCAGTTAATTAGCTGCCTGTACTGCTGGAATAAAGGGAGGGGGAGAAAGAGAGGCAGAGGAAGAGCGAGCTCGCAGAGAAAGGAGTGTCTCAACGAGCAGTGCAGGCCACCCAGGGGCAGCAAGCGCAAACTGCAGGCGGTTCGAAGGAAGGCACTGATTTTACCAAGCCCCCTGAAGCCAGGAACCAAGCTCCACCACGGACACGAACTTCGCTGGGACACTTGAGCAGGGCTTCAGCGCCCCAGCGCAGCCCTGGCTGCAGAGGGGTGGATGGCCAGAGCTGTTTCTAGGCCATACACTACTACATTTCAAAACAAAATACTGAAATGCAGCTGGGAGTGAAGAAGGGCAGAAGGAACCTCAGCAAAGACAAGAGCAGCCAAATGCCTCCAAAGCAAAAACAAAATTCATTTTACCCCCAGTTCATGACACCCAAAGCATGCTTACCATGGAGCAAACGGGCCCTGCCCATAGATCTAAGTACACTGTTGAGCAGAGATACACTTACGTGTCTGGTTAAGGACAGCCCTTAGCTAAGCTGTCACAAGAATTAGGGGACCAAATTCCAGAAATGCTCAGCATCTTCTGAAAACTTAGATACCTGAAAGATACTGAAATGGAGATTGAACTCCTCTGAAAACCTGACCATGATTGTGAGCATAAGCCCTTTCTGAAAAGTCCTATCAGATTTGTTGCAATATCTTCTGGGGTGATTCCTGGATAAGGTTGAGCATCCCCAGCTCTTCTTAGCCTCAGCCAGTGCTGAGGCTAGTCAGTACATTGCAGATTCATATCCATATGATAAAAACAATGTACAGAATACTATTAAAACCTAATTCTCTTTGTTGAAGTAAGGACATGGTGGTTTATTAATCTATTACAGTGATTTCCAAAATTCCCTCAAAAGCACTGAAAGGAACAACCAAACCTGATAGCCACTACTACATCTAGAAGTTGTAACCACAAATATGATCCACATACCGTATCTCTATCAATATTTTTGACTGTGACATGTACTGCAAAAACAGCTGCATGAGGCAGGCCTACCCAGAGAGGCTGGCCAGCAGCCGATCTTTCAAAGAAAGAAATTAAGATGCTCCTCTCTGATGGACTCATGATGGGCATGGGCAACAAGAATACTGAATGACTCCAGTGATCAGTTTCCATTACACGGACAATTAACAGAATCATCTTAAAGTCTTGGTTTCAACAAGCGGGTTAAAAACAAATTCAGAAATAATAAACTAATGTGCCCTAGGCTCAAAACAGATTGAGAATAAAACATACAGAAATTAATCTAGCTTGTTGTGAATCAATTGTTTCAAATAAAAAAAATCTGGAGATCATTCAATACAACAGAAACAGAATCTTGCTGGTATTTCAGTATAACAGGGTGAGTTAGTTGTCAGTCTTAAATTTTTCCTTGTTCTTGCTCTGACACTTTAGGGATGAAGCTGTCTATATTTGTGTGACATTAAACAAAACTGTCCACTTCTATCTTATGACATGCCAAGTATGCTTTGTTTAATGAATAAGCCATGTAAGTTCTATAAAATGGATCATTGATAGTGCATTCTTTTTCTAAAAGTCATCTTATGGTCTTTTAAGTCTTGCATTTTATTAGGATGGTATGAGCTTGTCCTTCTCAAAGGTACAGATACAAATGTCCTCCAACTGCTGTTGAAACCTATCTCCAAGAAAAAGAGATTTTCTTCTATTATAGACTAAAGAGTGACTTCTGCTTTTCTTCAACAAGATTCACCAGAGGGATTGCATTAGCCAAGATAATCTCTTGGGTTGATAAATCCTGACACTGAACATTTATTATTTCAACACCTGCTTTCTATTTCTGTAACACAAAAGGGAATCGAGTAATAGGGTCCCAGTACAGTATGGGGTGCAAGCCTGGAATAATTATAAAATGTAGTCACTGAGTCAGAGCAAACACCTGAAATCTGAGCACTGTAGAAGAGTCATGACTGGAAGAACCAATCTGTTATTTTTGACAGTGGCATGAAACATAAGTCAGAACATTCTAACACCATGATAGGGAGAATGATGTCAGGCAAAAGACTTCTAGCTCAAGTCCACAGTGAAAGGTGAGGTATGAGTTTTAAAATATGGCTATAGCCTGAGCAGAAGTCATGGATAAGAGATTACTGTTTATGGAGCTTGCAGCTCAAACTGAGGAAAAAGAAAAAGGAATAATGGCAAGTATGACTTCTAGTGTGGTGGCTAGGTAATAATTTAACGACAAACACATGGCTAAATCTTTAGGTAACTATTTGTTATCTGAACATTTTACATTACCTTCCCTTCCTCCTCAGTAATAACAGTATAAAAATGAATGAATGAACAATTTCATCTCTGTAAAGCAGATTCGCCGATTTCTTCTTAGGCATGAGATTTGACTCATCCCTTTGCACTATCCACTTGTGGGACTGCCAATAAAACCCCCAAAACATCTCTTTTCTATGTAGTGAGAACGGGAATGAATTACTCAAGGTGCAACATACATAATTCTTCCAACTCTCACTAGTCAAATGACAGGACTTACTCGCCAGGCATAACCTTTACTCGCATCCTCCTCTCACAACACAGCAAATTAATTAGCAAAACTTCTGTTGAAACTGTAATCCATGCTCAAAAGAAAAAGTGTGAAGATGCCACAGAATTATCTCAGACTTGCAATGGCAGAAAGTTGACAGTCTCTTCAGAAGGCTACGGTCTAAAGAAGTTACAGATGCTGAGCAGGACCCTCCAAGGGCTAGACCTTCTGGCCAAGACTGATACTAAACTGAATGGGCCCTAATGATGGACACTGACTATCAATATCAGTTCTTACACTATCATGCTCTACTTCTTCCATTAATGCTAAAGATTTTATAAGTGCTAAGTACATATGTAGCACGGAAAAAGAAATCTAGAGAGATGTGTATATCATGCACAGTAGTGGACCCCAAAGTATTAGGAATGTAACATCTATGTTGAAATCCAGAAGAAAGAGCAAATGTGTTTTTAACCATGCTAAAAACTAAACTTTTGTTGTGAGAATAATTGGCGAAGTCATAGTTAAGTTCATGGCACAGAACTGCAGCCTTCCAGGAACCTAGCTGAGATGTAGCTGTCAATCCCTCCCTCTTACTTTACTGTATTAAAATCTAATGTAAGCCAAAAGTTACTGAAAAGAAAACAGTGGGAAAAAAATTATACAAGGAATGCCAAGCCCTCTCCTGACATGCATGCCTGTTAGACCTGGCCAGCTTTGCGTTCCCTTCTTTTGCTCCCTCCCATTCTTTAAGTGCAAACACAATGGCACTCTGCCAAGGCATTTTGGCTGCAATACTTTTAGACCTAGAGAATTCGTGTTAAGGATCATTTCTCTTCAAACCAGCTGAAGGAAAGCTGATAATTAACCTAGGGCAGGTAGTCAACGCAAGGTTGTGTTGACTTTGCTAAACAACTTCACTAAAGAAGCCTGAAAAGAAATGAAAACAAACTGAAAGATCATAGATTTGTACTATTTGTGGGCCATCCAAGCATTCTCCTTTCTGTTTAGGAATCCCTAGCAAGCCTTTTGTGATCACCACAGTTTGCTTACAGCTGTAATTGATCTTCCCTATACATGTTGGCTTGAGCAAATTAACTGTCAACAATTTAATGAGTTAAGTCATTACAGTCTAAGATTTAGCATTTCAGTATCCCTACTACACACTGAATCCTCTTAACTGGCTCAGGTCCCAGGGTGGTAAACGTGTGCCAACAAAGTCATTCTCAGGGGAATATACAGCAGAGAAAAGGGTCTCTATTTCACAGATTGTTTTAACAAGAAGATGCATGCAAAAATCCTAAAATGTGTCAATACAGATTCAGTGCAGTAAATGTAAATTGTGAAGTAGATTAGGACAGCAACAAAACTGAAAAAGGTACATACTGCAGACAGTGTTGTCAGCAGAAGTTAATTCTTACTTGTTTAATAATGCAGGATGACTGCAGTCAGCCTGTGCATGCCTCTCAAAGAAACTGTTATCCTTAACAGGATCAGGTATTGGAAATCCCAACAGACAGCCACTAAAATGCATTGTGCTCACTCCATTCCCAGTTATGGAAGAAGGTTCATGCAATACAGCCAACAACAGAACAAAAGAACAATTATGTCAGTCAACCTTCATATGCCACCCTCAGAACAAGACAGCATCCACTGATAGACCTCTGTACTTCAAGGAATCATGGGACTGATATCTCAAGCCAACTGATACTGGAGTTTAATGGTAAGAGTACTGCTATTTTTTCATTAAAGAACTACCGACCTCCTTCTGCCCTACTGGAACAAGTGCCTTTTCCAATTACAATATCCTACCGGAGTAACATATATATCAAAGGGGAAAAAGAATCCTGAAGAACAGTCATGTGAAGCAGTGCCTGCTCCAAGTCATTCTAAGATGTAGAACTGTCCATGGGTTACAGAAAGGAGCAAAGATAAGAACAACGTGAAAATTTAACATGGCAAACATACATCATACAGGAACTTTTTCCTGTATGAATTTGCAACAAACATATGCATTTGAGTATGCAGGCTATCACAAGAAAAAAAAATCATTGTAAGAAATAAGAGAAGCTTGACAAACAGCTGCCTTAAATCGAATCTGGAATGCTAAATTTGATCTACCTAAATTCTTGAGCCTTCACTTTAGAGGTTAGTGGGTGAAATCATCTAAAATGGTGCTAAAACATAGTCTGATTATTTGATACATGGGGAAACTACAGACAGAGGAGGTATTTTGCTAAGTAATGTCACAGAGGTTAAGGTACAGATTCACATTTGCACTGGTTACAAACAACCACACAGATATTTGTAAGTGTGTGTAGATGTCAACATGCATATCCAGGTACATGTAGAGCTGTGGATTTTGACATGTATGTCCACATTGTTTTCCATGTTAAATTCCTGCAATATACCTTGCCTATTTGAATGACATCTTGGCAAAGCCATTTTTTTATGTCTTCCTTTCCT